TCCCCTTCCAGGACCCGAATCGCTTGTTTCACCCCATTTTGAGGTGTTTGGGGGTCGTTTCTCCCCTTCCAGGACCCGAATCGCTTGTTTCACCCCATTTTGAGGTGTTTGGGGGTCGTTTCTCCCCTTCCAGGACCCGAATCGCTTGTTTCACCCCATTTTGAGGTGTTTGGGGGTCGTTTCTCCCCTTCCAGGACCCGAATCGCTTGTTTCACCCCATTTTGAGGTGTTTGGGGGTCGTTTCTCCCCTTCCAGGACCCGAATCGCTTCTTTTACCCCATTTTGAGGTCTTTGGGTGCCTTCCAGGACCTGCCAATTCCCAGTTTATCCCTGCCAGGACCCGCTTCCATTGGAATTTTATTGTTTTATTGCATTTTATCCTATTTTATCGGCGTTTATTTTTTATTTACCAAAAAGTTTCGACGCCTTCACCCCAGATTTCAACCCCGGGGGGTTCTTTGCTTCAATTTTCACCTGAAAACTCCTCCTGTGAGTGCTAAAAAGGGAAAAAAAAGAAGATTTCACCCCAAAATTCCCCATTTTCACACCCAGATTCATTCAAAAATGAACCATTTTTGCCCAAAATTGACTCTTTTTTCCCCCCCCCTCTGAATTAAATTTAATTTATTTTTTTTTCCTAGTTTGGCCTCAAATTAATGAGGGGAAAAGGCGAATTTGGTGAAAAAAAATCAGCTTGAAAGTGAAGCCACTCGCTTCGAAAAGGCCCAGAAAGGGATAAATTCAGATTTTAGAAGCTTTATTTTTCTTTAAAAAGGTTAGAAATGAGTAAATTCCCCTCTTTTCACCCAAAAAATGCTCAGAAATTGGTTAAATCTGGAGTTTGGAACCTTTTCCTTGACCCTGAAATGCCCCAAAAATCGGTAAATTTGTATTTTAGGCTTTTTTTTTTTTACCCCTAAAGGTGGAGAAATGGGTAAAAATAAAGAAAATTCAGATTTAAGACCAACTGGTGTCGTTGGAAAAAAACTTAAAAATTGATAATTTTACATTTCAAACCTTTGTTTTTCCCCGGAATTGTTCAAAAATGATTAAATTGAGGAGTTTTCAACAGTTTCCACATCTGGACAACAGAGCTCACACAAAAAAAAACCCCTCAAAAACGCCAAAAATTTGCATTTTAACCCCCTCAAAAATGCACAAAAGTGGCCACACTTCGATTTTAGAGCTCCCTCTTTTATGGAAAAAGCTCAAAAATTTAAAAATTTCGATTTGAACCTCATTTTTTTACCCTAAAACCCCTCAAAAATGGGCAATTTTCACCTCCCAACCGGGTTTTTCCCCCCCCCTTCGCTTCCCCCACCTTTAAATTGAATTTTTAACCAATTCCTGAATTATTTTCCCTCAAATATCCCCAAAGCCACCTTTAAATTCACTTTTTAAAACTTTTCTCCCCCTTCCCAAACACCCCAAATCCCATTTTTTTTATCCTTTTCATTTCCACCCCTAAATCCCATTTCCCCCCCCAACTTTTTCCTCCAAAATTCCACATTTTTATTAACTTTTCTCTCCCTAAATCACAACTTTGACCCATTTTAAACCATTTTTCCCCCTCGGATCAACAGATTTGAGGTAAAAATAACATTTTTTCCCCATTTTCTCAGCGGGAAATCAACTCCTCCCCCTTTTTTACAGCTCAAACTTGTTGTTTTGGCGTTTTTTAACCCATTTTAACCAATTTTTACCTTTTTTAACCCATCCCACCACCACCAACAACCAGAGAAAGGGGGTAGGGAACACCCAAACCAATTTTCCATATAAAAAAAAACAACAAAAATTAAGATTTTACCAAAGTTCCGCTTTAAACTGTAAAACCGAGGTGAAAAAAACCCCAAAATTCAGATTTTTCCAACCGGAAAAAAGCGATTTTCTCTGTTTTTTACCCATTTTTTCCCTTTTTCCCCCCATTTTGGAGTTCCCCTCCCTTTTTCTTTGTTCCAACTCCTTCCTCCCCTTTGCCGGAATCACTCCCCCTTTTTTTTTTCTCTTTTTTTTTT